TGTTCCCGGACTTCGGGATCAGTATGAACGCAGCCTAACCAGCCATCTTGCTTTCGCTCAAGAATGTGACTGGATCCTACACACATTGGCACCAGTCAGATTGCAATAGGTGCCGCTTTCCAGCAGGCGGCTCTTGACGAGAAATCTTGCTAGCAATAGATTATTATAGTAAAGCGCTATCCCAATCTTAACCGAAGGAGGTCCCACTCAAATAAAACTTTTGCTCCAAATAGAATTTCAAGAAACGCTCCAGAATCCACGGGGCATAGTTGACCTCCCGATATGTCTGGCGGTGCCAAAATTTCGTCTACGTTCTCTTCAACCAAGACTGACTCTCTTATCGTCACTCTACCCCGATTAAACACGACGCCTTACTAGAAACAAATTTTCGTTTGAAGCTCCAATCAATATTCCCCACCTTAACATATTCAGGTTCAGTCGACCACAGTCTAAGCCAAAACGCGTCCATATGGATCGAATTAAAAACTGTTACGGGTCTTGCAGACCAGCGTTTCATCAGAGCCTTAGCAACTAGCTTCCCTGGTCCACCACCAAGCTAGGATACAGGATACAGATTTTATAGGATATCAGCACTACACTGCAATTAAGACTCTTCGGAACCTGAAGAGATGCTTCCGCATCCCTATAATTCTTGTTTCAAGTCACGAAGGTCTTCAACCTGACCTGCTGGTCGTTCCATTAGTATTTACTTACAGCTATACATCCATAGCATTCTTCCTTCGTCTTACTCACTGGTTGTCCACGCTACTCTCCAGTCTCGTTGCTATAATTCGTTTCCAATGTGCACACACTCCTCGTATCCTGTCAGTGCCTTCTATAGAGCGCTGAATTGTACCTCCGTCTTTTCAGCTACGACACATAACTACGCTCTGTTTTTTTTCAGAAGGCTGGCGAAAAGCACTTTGCTTTTTTACGCCGTCTCCCACTACCTCTACTGAATACTACATCTAGCCCCCAAAGGCTAGCTGTCATTCCTACTAACAGCCCTTTTAGGCGTTCACCGTCATCCTTCTAAGGTCACTCTTTCCTTACACAAACCGTAATCGGCGCCCTTACAATTAACAATACAGCCTTTCTCTTCACAGATGTTCGTTTGTCCGCCTTTACTATTTAGTAATCCTCACTAATTTAGCGATGTCAAATGAGACAATAGAGCGAGGATCATTGCTCCTCTTCGAGCTTGTCGATTTCGACATCGAAACATGTCCAAAAACAGAGTCGATAACGAATGAAAACTCGTTGGGAGTAGATGCTGCATCACCACGGAAGAACCTCAGTCGTCCACCAAGTAAGTTTCTGGCGTTGCAAATTTTTCCTTTCCTTTTGTAATTATTTTGGGTATTTTCGTTGTAGTTTGTGCCGCCTCCGGCGCCTATCGTGGCTGCGAGGAACTCTCCACTAGTACTTGTGGCCCAAGCGAACATGCCCCTGGCAGCCGTTACAAAACCGTCGTTGTTCGCTATGTTCTCCAGCTTCCCAGAAAGATCCCCGATGATTTCTGTCATCCGTTGATCGACGCTCACCCTTGGGGTCACTTGGTCCTCCCTCAAACTTCCAACTGGTCATCTCTTCGAGAGCGTGACATTACTGGCGATATGCCAGACCAGGATTATCGTCATATCCCCGATTCTGGTTACTCACGCTACCAATTCGCCAAATGGTTCTTCCCTTTTTGACACTTCCCACATTAGCGCAGTAGTTATTGACTGTACAGAACAACATCTTCCGCCTTGTCAAACAAACCTTCCAGTCCCATTGTGCGCAGTTCTTGTTCACATCACAGGTTCAAAACTCTGATAATCCCAAAATTTGAAGAAGGTCACGGAGACGAAATTTTTAGTGCAACGTAAAACAGCGTAACATCAGTTTTGCTGCAATCAAGAAAACACCAAACCCATTCCTGAATGTAGTTTGCACTCAGTATCAAAGAGACCTGGCTGGTCCAGCAAAACTCACCTAGTTTGCTGTCAGATTTTCGTTGAAAAAGTCTTTGGCCCGTAGTAAACCCCCTTT